AAGGAGATCCCAACCCTTCTTTTTTTCTTCTTTATTTTTGAAATATGGCGGCACATGACGGGTGTGGGGACGCGCTTTTGTAGGGAGAGAATGAAAATTATTACCTTCATCCTCTCTCCTTTTCTTTCTCTTTTCTACACTCTAGATTCTTTCTTCCCCCACGTCCTGTCCTCGGATCATGGGTTTGCCGCACTCTACTCTCTCACACAAAATGATCTCACCTTTTCCTGTTTTTTTTTTTCATTCACAACTTTTTACAAAATTTTCCTTTGTGTTCTCTTTTGATCTCACCAAAAAAGCGTGGCGGGTGGCAGTGGTTTGGTTCGTCTTGTTGTACTTAGGGTGGCTGGGGCCGCATCGAGCGACAATGACATTTTTCAAGATCAAGCCTTGCGACGTCCACATGCTGCCGACTGAGCTGAAGCAGGCACATCATCGCCTACGAGGTGTGGTACTGACTCGCGATACTTCAAATCAGGTCTTGGAGCATGAGCGAATGGCTTTAGAACTGTGGATTCAGGTCACATCCATCTATCAAATTTCTGCCAGCTGATGACTGAATGCCAACCCTAGATGCATCCGTGCCAACGTCGAAACCTTCAACACTCTGCTGAGAAGAATATGCTCGCTACCCATATGCAGCTCCGTACTCCATCGACCCGTCCAAACGCGAAACAAGGAACTGTCTAACTCTGCAAGTTGAGAATTACCGCAGCATCATAAATCGTAAGCTTCATAAATCTTAGCCGGATCTCAAAATATCAAAACATTTTCTTCTGCGCCAACTATGGCTTAAACGCCCCAGCCTGGGGGTGGCCCGTAGTAGGACGACATGGGCGGTGGCGGCGGGGGTCGGAACGATGACCTTCGGCTTTCCCTTGGTGCCGGCGTCCGGCGATCCATCCTCGGTTCGAGCGGTGGCGGCGTCCGTCTTGGAAGCGGCAGCGGCAGCTCTCTCTCATGGTGGCTTGCACCGGCTATAGCGTGGCTGACTGATCGGCGTGTCGCCTTCCTCGATCCATTGAGAGCGCTGAGTGGCGGGTCTTTGACGGCGGGGTCATCATCGGGGGGGAGATTCAGCTCGACGAGACTGTAGAAATACTCAAGAACCTCGGGATACCGCTGGACGCTGGCCTGCCAATCCTCATCAATGCCGCGTTTGAGGGCACCCTGAGCAGCAGCAATGTCGTTAGGATGGGGCTGCTGCTGGTAGTAATAGGAAGCATGGGCGGTGATACGCTCGAGGTTCATGTTGTGCTGTGTCTTACGACGATCGGTGAGGAGGCGGTAATACTCAAGAATGTAGTCCTGGGCGCGCCCACGGACCCAGGAACTGTAACATGTCGTCAGAATACAGGAGACACGGGAGAGCGAAATATGTGTTCCAACGAACCGTATATCGCTGTAGATGGACTGCATCATCCTATTCTCGGCCTGCTTGATGGCTACCTCTAGGCCCTTGGCTTCGCAGTCGCATGCCATAGTGGCTGGTGCATGACAGATGGCGCAGTCGGGGTCCATCCTGACGACTGCCTTTCGCGTCTTGAGCTCTCTGGAACGCATCTTAGCACGAGGGATAGAAGTAAAGGTAGCGAGAAAGTGAGCGTCGGGGAAGCTGGTGGTGGCATCAACAGCAGCAGGTCATGTACACGGCAACCGATATCTCAAGGTGGCTCCGATACAAGTACACGGGGCATCTTCTTCAAAATGCTGACCTGAAGTCGCGTGCAAGGAAGTGGCCGGGTGATGGTGGAGGTGGAAGACAGCTCAAAGGCGGGGTGGAGGGACGCAAAGTCTCGACTAAGGACTGACCTGGTTTTTGATTATGAATGCAGCTGCGCCTAGCGATGTACAGCTGGCGGTAGAAGAGGGGAATGGGAACCGAAAGGGGGGAGCGATGCTAGCGGTATCTGCTATGTATCCTGCAGGATGAAAGCACGGAAGAAGCGGTGGCAGCAGCAATAGCAGCACCAGCAGCACCAGCATCAGCGGTGCAGGACGTTGGGACGAGTGCTCGCTCGCTCGGTGGCCGTGTCTGGTCTGGTGTGCGGTCCTTGTGTCGTGGGGATGACGGGGTCGGACGGTCGTTCAATGGGAGTGAGTGGGGGAGAGGGACAAAGAGGATCTGCGAGGAGGTTCGCGGGTTCAAGAAGGGCGAAAGTGCAGACAGTCTGCTGGTTGGAGGGTCGGTGCAGGAGTGTCGTGGCTCGAATGCCAGCTTGTTGTTGCTGCAGCAGGTCGACGAGGTAGGTCCAATGATGAGGGGAAGAGGTTGAATGCCCGATGGGCTCCCAATGGGCCAAGGTGGCCGTCGTCTGGTCGGAAGTTGTGTGGCCTGGACTCGCCTGGCTAGACCAGTGAGAAAAGCGGAGGGAGGTGAGGAGAAGTTGAAGCAGAAGCAGACATCTGACCGATCAGCCGGACCAGGGAGGGGGAAAAAGAGAAGACCAGAAGTGAATTGGGCCTCAAGGCGGTCTGCAGTCTGCAGCTGTTGCAGTAGACCAGAGGCGTGACCGCTGCAGCTTGGAGGGGCCGCTACTCCCGTCTGTCCAACAGAAACCGTCCGAGCTGCGAGGGTTCAACCGCGGCGGTTCGTCCGATGCGGAGGCCCGATCATAGCAATGGGCTGGTGGGCGACACGCGCGAGTTGATGGGGTATTTTGACAGGAGGGCCAGCCATCTTTTTCGCTTGCCGTGGCTGGTAGCTATCCACTGACGCCAATTTGATATGTTGGGTACCTTCGGGGATATCTCCGGGGAGGGAGGCTTGGAAGTATCCAGAGTCATTGAATTCATCCTTGGATGCAATGCAAGTAAGCCGAGGGCAAAAAGAAGCGAATCGTCAATCGTCGAGCTCTGGGGTCGTTCGTGCTGTCGTCGCTAAGAAGAGGGCTGCAATCATCATCATGCATGCTCGTCATGGCCGCCATACCTCATCGTACTGGTGCCACCATGAGGAGACGGCTATCAGTCGCTGCTGTTCCTTTTTCCATCCCATCCATCCATCGATTTCCTGTCGGGATGGTCTTGACCAGCGCACTGTGACGAGTGATGGAGCAATAAGGTACGGCGATGCAGATGCAAAGAGCGGCATTTCCTGCGAGCGTCGAGAGAGTGTAGATGTAGGTCGGAAGAAGGTATACAATCCTCCTGTGCACGAGATGTTGGCCAAGGCCTTCGATTGGAGGCAGGTCCTGCTGCCTGCGCGTCTGGGGCGCGCCCTCCTCTGTCTTCCCATCCTGCCTGCCCCTTCTCGACGTGAACCAGATGACTAAGTCAACCCATCATCAATCAGATCAGCCTTGTCTTCTTACTACTGATGATGTGCTCAGTGGACCATATTCGAGGACGATTCAATTCAGTTTTCACATGTACATAAGATAACATAACCCGTCGCTCACAACCCCCCCAAACTCCCCGTCTTACCAATGGCGGCCGAAGCGCCACCACCATGAATAGCATCAACTAGCCCCCTTTCCCGTCCTTCAGGGAGCTGCCCCCTTCTGACCTCGCGCCCTCTTGCGCCTGTTGCACCTGCTGCAGCTGCGCCTGAACGCTCCCTCTTCTCAGGAAGCTCACGCCCGTCAGCACGGGACTGCTCATCATCCCCATAGCCGTCGTCGCTGTCGTCGACGCCCTCAGTGCGCCGGGACCAGGGCTCGGACTGCTGAAGTCCCGCATCTCGCCAAGCATTCGCTCCGGCAGGCCAAGGCTCGGGATGCTGGCCTCCGGCACGGCCTCGAGCCCGCCAGCACCCTGGTGGCCGAGCACGTTGGCCGGCGTCGTCATGGGCGAGCGCGAATCGCGTGACTTCTCCAGCACCTCCTTGTAGAAGGCCTCGAGGGCCGACGCATCACCGCAGAACGACTCAAAGTCGTCCTTGACGAGCGAGGGTTCGCTGAGGTGGAAGGGCTTCGGCATGCTGGGGTTCAGACTGCCAGGGAACGTGCTGTGTGCAGATGACGAGTAATCCGCGGCTCTCATCGTCGGGGACGGCGCGAAGAGGGCTGGTTTGACCTGCGGGGAGGCCGTCGGACCTGGTTCCGGAACGCCAAAGGGTGTGTACGACCCCATCGACACAAAACGACCGCTGCCGCCGCCGCCTCGCTCCATCGGAACGGGGAGGGAGGTGCCGCCGCTGCCGCCGGACGAATCGCGAGCGTCCTTGATCTCCTTTTCGCGAGCCGCCGTGGCCCGCTCACTGAACAAGCGGTTGGCCAGGATGATAAAGTGTCCCTCGTCTGTGACTTCGGCAAGCAGGACGCCGGAGCGGTGGATGTACTGCGTATACTTGAAATCGGGCTTGCCCCAGGAGTAGCTCACGTCAACATTAGGAGGGTAGTTTGACGCCGCCTCGACGTCGAGCACAAAGTCGAACTTCTTCAGAATGGCCGCATGGTACGGGTGCTTGCCAGGAGACGTCTGGGCCGTGAACGACGTGGGATCGTAAAACGTCGAAGGCTGCTGCGCCGGCGGTGGTATGGCGAGCTTGATGGTGTACGGCCGGCGGAAGGGATTCGTGTCGGTGATCGTGCAAGCCTCCCTGATGGGGACCTCGACGAGCCGCAGACCGTAGTTTGCTGCCTCCCTGGCCCAGCCCTCCACCGCGTCCTCGATCAGCTTGGCCGTGACGTTCAGCCAGTCCAGGCGAATGTGATAGCAGTTGTCTGGGTTGTGAAGTCGATCATAGTGCAGATCGATCCTCTCCGGCCGATATGAGCGCTTGCGGTGGTCCACGTCATACTTCACGACCTTGCTCAAAACCACTCTCGGCCTCTTCTTGGAATTGAAGAGATTTGCCATGGTCGGCGTAGTGGCGCCCGAAACGGGCGAATGCTCTTCGTGCAGCGACGTCGGACGAGAGTAGCCTGCGCGGGGCGAATCCTTGGGCGTATACTCGGCCATGGGCGTTGCGGGCACCGGGCCGTCTCGTTTGCGCGAGTTGAACCAGCTCGGCGGTAGGGGTTTAGCATGATCGCCCGAGATCTGGTAAAAGTACTGCCCATCTCTGAACGGATGGCGCTTCTCCACGTGGATGAAAAGCCCTCTGTTCTTCTCCTTCCTAAACTCGTCCTTCTCTTTGTCTTCGGTTCTGTCATACTTTGTCACCATGAGCATGTTTCCCAGCTGCTCCGCCTCGTCTCGATTTTCGAGATCTTCAAAGTTGTCGAGCAGCCAGGTCGTCATGTCGGACCCGATGAAGCAGTTGTAATGCAGTCGCAAGTGCCAGCGCCGGTTCTGGAGTTTGACGCCTCCATTTTCCTCTGGCTGCTGGATCGCTTCCGCAAGAGCAGCGATGTTCAGATTCGATTTGCGGAATCGCTCTCGATTGGATATCAGTTGGCCCTTTCGATTTCCTTCCAAGCCCTCGAGAAGAGGGAGCGAATCCACCTCGGCGGCGATGACCGCAGAGGCGTCTTCCGTTTTGTAGACAATGTCCAAAGGGTTCGGGTCGCGCTGCTTCCTGGGACCTGTCTGAAATCGGCGCTCGGAAGGCGAGATGTATCGGTACTTTTGCCATTGGAGGGACAGTCGCCTGATGCCTTCGAGCCGGACCTCTTCCGGGTTGTCGCCGGACTGGTTCCTGGGCACGGACGTGTTGCGCGGCAACATGGGGATCAACACGAACCTCGCCCGCCAGAACCGCAGGCTCTCCGTGAGCTCGTCATTGTGGCCGGCGAGGAACGAGTCAATGTAGTTCCAGTTTCTCTCGGGCTTGGGCGTCAGAATATCAATCTCCTGCGTCCGGTAGTTGACATCCAGCAGTGTGCGGATCGCCGGCTTGTACATGGCGCCGAGCGCGAATGGGAGCAAGGCCGATTCGGTCGGCTTGCGCACGAAGATGTTGATCTCGACTTCTGCCCCGTTGACGCACGAGAGCTGATGAATGGTGTTCCCGACAGACATGAATACGCTCGTGCCGTCCTCCATGGCCTGGTCGCGCGAGAAGATATCCGCAATCTTCATCTGCTTCTGGCCAAACGCCCGGGCGACGGCAGGTCCAATGACCAGTTGAAAGCCTTGCGAGAACCTCAGGCTGATGAGCTCTCGGATGAACTCTTCGCGCGACTTTGGCTCTTCGGCAAGCTCATCATCCGCGTTTTGGGCAATATTGTACGGCTGGCGCTGGTATTCGGCATCGAACTGCGCCTTGGTGGGGAAATACTCGGTCGTCAGTGGCACCGCAGCGGGACAGCAGAGCGCCTTCCACTTCATCACTTTCATCTCCGACGTTTTCGGGAAGACGTGCTGCCAGCGACTGTAGAGAACGGTGTCATCCACCTTCTTTGTGTCCGGGTTGGAAGGGTTCAGCAACGTCAGCCAGGGCGTGACAGCGGTGGTAGGGGAGAGCGTGGTCGGCGACTCAGGGACCCGGAGCTTGTTGTTGAACCTCCTGTCGTTGTCTTCCTGTCTCAACGCCGACGAGAACTGCTGGTCTCGATCTTCCTGCAGCAGATCCCTGCGGGCGAGGGATGGAACACCTGGAGCCATGAAAGCCCCCATCTTTTGAAGATTGGTCGAGCTGCCCCACTGTGATGATCTCACGCCGATTGGTATGCTTG